CACCTGGGCAGGTGAGATATGGACAGGTGAGATAAGGACAGGTGAGATATGGACAGGTGAGATGGGACAGGTGTGGGACAGGTGAGATATGGACAGGTGAGATATGGACAGGTGAGATGGGGACAGGTGAGATATGGACAGGTGAGATATGGACAGGTGAGACATGGACAGGTGAGATATGGGACAGGTGAGATGGGACAGGTGAGATAAGAACAGGTGAGATGGGACAGGTGTGGGACAGGTGAGATATGGACAGGTGAGATATGGACAGGTGAGATTGGACAGGTGAGATGGGACAGCTGAGATACAGGTGAGATATGGACGGGTGAGATGGGACAGGTGAGATATGGACAAGGATTGGGGACCACCATTGCTCATGCCCAGGTGTGTTCCTGTTCTTCTCAGGTGTGCCCAGGTGTACCATGGTTATACCCAGCTGTGCCCAGGTGTGCCCAGGTGTACCACGGTTATACCCAGGTGTACCTCAAGTGTGCCCAGGTGTGTCCCTGTCCCTCTCAGGTGTGCCCAGGTGTGCCATGGTTATACCCAGCTGTACCCAGGTGTGTTCCTGTCCCTCTCAGGTGTGCCCAGGTGTGCCATGGTTATACCCAGGTGTGCCCAACTGTACTCAGGTGTGCCCAGGTATGCCATGGTTATACCCAGGTGCATCCCACGTGTACCCAGGTGTACCACAGTTATACCCAGGTGTATCCCACGTGTACCCAGCTGTACCCAGGTGTACCCAGGTGTGCCATGGTTATACCCAGCTGTGCCCAGGTGTATTCCTGTCCCTCTCAGGTGTATCCCAGGTGCCCCCAGGTGTGCCCAGGTGTGCCCAGGTGTACCATGGTTATACCCAGGTGTACCACAGTTGTACCCAGGTGTGTTCCTGTCCCTCTCAGGTGTACCATGGTTATACCCACGTGTGCCCAGGTGCCCCCAGATGTGCTCCCAGGTGCCCCCAGGTGTGCCATGGTTATACCCAGGTGTATCCCACATGTACCCAGGTGTATCTCAGGTGTACTGTGGCTGTGCCCAGCTGTACCCGGCTGTACCCAGGTGTGCCCAGGTGTGCTCCTGTCCCTCTCAGGTGTATCCCACGTGTACCCAGCTGTACCCAGGTGTGCCCAGGTGTGGTTCTATCCCTCTCAGGTGTACCCAGGTGTATCCCAGCTGTACCCAGGTGTACTGTGGGTGCCCCCAGGTGTATCCCAGGTGTATCCCACGTGTACCCAGGTGCCCCCAGGTGTGCCCAGGTGTGTTCCTGTCCCTCCCAGGTGTATCCCAGCTGTACCCAGGTGTGCCCCCAGGTGTGCCCAGGTGTGCCCAGGTGTGTTCCTGTCCCTCTCAGATGTATCCCAGGTGTACCCAGGTGTGCCCAAATGTGCCATGGTTATACCCAGGTGTATCCCACGTGTACCCAGGTGTACCCAGGTGTGCCATGGTTATACCCAGGTGTGCCCAGGTGCGTTCCTGTCCCTCTCAGGTGCATCCCAGCTATACCCAGGTGTACCACGGTTATACCCAGGTGTACCCAGGTGTACCCAGGTGCCCCCAGGTGTGCCCAGGTGTGGTTCTATCCCTCTCAGGTGTATCCCTGCTGTACCCAGGTGTGCCCAGGTGTGCCATAGCTATACCCAGGTGTATCCCACGTGTACCCAGGTGTGCCATGGCTATACCCAGGTGTATCCCACATGTGCCCAGGTGTGCCCAGGTGTGTTGTGGATGTACCCAGGTGCCCCCAGGTGCCCCCAGGTGTGCCCCCCGGTACCCACGTTGATGCAGAAGAGCGTGGTCATGCGGTGCAGGTAGTTGGGGTCGGCGGCCATGGCCAGCACCTTGGGCACGATGGTGCCCTGTGCCCAGGTGTGCCCAAAGCGCTCCACCAGCTTGCGCAGGTTACTGGTGGCGGCCTCGCGGATGGCGTACACTGCCGGGAAACCAGTACAGACCAGTATGAACCAGTTAGGACCAGTACAAACCAGTATAAACCAGTTAGGACCAGTATAAACCAGTATATACCAGTATAAACCAGTATATACCAGTATAAACCAGTATAAACCAGTATAAACCAGTTAGGACCAGTATGGACCAGTATAAACCAGTATATACCAGTACAAACCAGTATATACCAGTATAAACCAGTATATACCAGTACAAACCAGTATAAATCAATATAAACCAATATAAACCAGTTAGGACCAGTATGGACCAGTATAAACTACTTTGAACCAATATAAACTACTTTGAACCAGTATAAACCAGTATATACCAGTATAAACCAGTATAAACTAGCATAAACCAGTTAGGACCAGTATGGACCAGTATAAACTACTTTGAACCAGTATAAACCACTTTGAACCAGTATAAACTAATTAGGACCAGTATAAACCAGTATATACCAGTATAAACCAGTATATACCAGTATATACCACTATAAACCAGAATATACCAGTATAAACCAGTATAAACCAGTATGGACCAGTATAAACCAGTATAAACCAATATAAACCAGTTTGGACCAGTATAAACCAGTTTGGACTGGTTCGGACCAGTATAAACAAGTACAAACTAGTATAAACCAGTTTAAACAAGTACCAACCAGTATAAACCAGTATGGACCAGTTAGGACCAGTATAAATCGGTATAAACCAGTATGGACCAGTATAAACCAGTATGGACCAGTTAGGACCAGTACAAACCAGTTAAGACCAATATAAACCAGTATAAACCAGTATACACCAGTTAGGACCAGTATGGATCAGTTTGGACTGGTTCGGACCAGTATAAACCAGTTTGAACCAATTTGGACCAGTATGGAATTATACAAACCAGTATAAACCAGTTTGCACCAGTCCCTCCTAATCCCCTCCCAGTCCATCCCAGTCCGTCCCAGTCCGTCCCAGTTTGTCCCAGTTTGTCCCAGTTTGTCCCAGTACCGTGATCCACCAGCCAGGCCATGCAGAGTGAGTTCAGCTTCTCATCAAAGAACTCCACGCCCTGGGGAGGGAGAGACCAGTAAGGACCAGTATAAACCAGTATAAACCAGTATAAACCAGTATAAGCCAGTATAAACCCGTATAAACCAGTATAAACCAGTACAAACCAGTAAAACCCAAAATAGACCAGTATAAACCAGTATGAACCAGTATAAACCAGTATGAACCACTATAAACCAATATAAGCCAGTATAAACCAAGCTACATTGCTACAGACCAATTTAAACCAATGTAAACCAGTATAAACCAGTATAAACCAGTACACAGCTATATAACCCAGTATGGATCAGTAGGAACAAAACCCCCCCAGTTCCTCCCAGTATATCCCAGTCCATCCCAGTATATCCCAGTCCATCCCAGTATATCCCAGTCTATCCCAGTACCCCCATACAAGCCCATAACCCCATTCCAGTGCCCCCATACAAATCTGTAACTCCCTCCCAGTCCATCCCAGTCCATCCCAGTCCATCCCAGTTTATCCCAGTCCCCTCACAACCCTCTCCCAGTATATCCCAGTATACCCCAGTGCCCTCCCAGTCCATCCCAGTGCCCCCATACAAGCCCATAACCCCATTCCAGTGCCCCCATACAAATCTGTAACTCCCTCCCAGTATATCCCAGTACATCCCAGTCTATCCCAGTACATCCCAGTGCCCCCATACAGGGCTGGAACTCCCTCCCAGTGCCTCCCAGTCCATCCCAGTATATCCCAGTGCCCTCCCAGTCCCTCCCAGTATATCCCAGTCCTCTCCCAGTCCCTCCCAGTATATCCCAGTCCATCCCAGTCTCACCAGCTGGCCGGCCAGCAGTGGCATGTACTCGATGATGGCCAGCTGGACACACCAGAGCCCCCTCCCAGTATATCCCAGTATATCCCAGTGCCCCATACATGGCTCCAGCCCTCTCCCAGTCCATCCCAGTGCCCTCCCAGTCCATCCCAGTCCCTCCCAGTCTGTCCCAGTCTGTCCCAGTCCATCCCAGTGTCCCCATACGAGCCCATAACTCCATTCCAGCACCGCATACAAGTCTCTAACTCCCTCCCAGTCCATCCCAGTCTGTCCCAGTCCATCCCAGTGCCCCCATACAAGCCCATAACCCCATTCCAGTGCCCCCATACCAATCTGTAACTCCCTCCCAGTCCATCCCAGTCTGTCCCAGTTTGTTCCCAGTCCCTCCCAGTCCCTCCCAGTCCATCCCAGTATATCCCAGTTTGTTCCCAGTCCATCCCAGTCCCCTCCCAGTCCATCCCAGTGCCCCCATACAAGCCCAGAACTCCATTCCGGTGCCCCATACAAGGCTCCAGTTCCATCCCAGTCCATCCCAGTATATCCCAGTGCCCCATACACGGCTCCAGCCCTCTCCCAGTCCCTCCCAGTATATCCCAGTGCCTCCCAGTAT